TAAAATAACACAATAGTGCTCACTGCACAAGTTAAATACAGATTAATCTTCGTTAGAGCTGTGGTGTTATTTGATTAGCAGAAGCAGGTATTTATTGGCTGCTGTCTCTTTAAGACCAAATGCACGGACCTAATACTGACGCACATCAGGGTTTTTTCTTAGCTGTTTACATTCACTTAAGACATAACTGACTGTTTTTACTAGAATACTTGCCAAAACGGGTATTGTATCATAACTTTGTGTGCATGTAAAAGAGGAATCAATTCGCTGTTCACGCTGTGTCTCTCTCTCTGTGTGTGTGCGCTTCTCGTGTGGCGGGTGGGTGCACAGAAATCAGCGCGCGAGTTTAAATTGCTTGAATGTGTAAATTGGCAAGACAAAACATGTGTAAATGATAAACTTTCACTCTATGATGGTTAAACGTAACAGTTAATCCGCGAATCACATGCGTGCCGAACCGTGGGGCCTGGTCCGTACGGATCACGGATCATCTACGATCCGTTGCACCCCTAGTAAAAAATAAAATATTAAAGTGATCACAACCCTGAAGCAAAGTTGACCCCATTGTCTTGAAGGGTTTTTCTTTTTTGCAATATGACTGGATGACCGTGTTATCCAGATTGTTACATGGTTACTTACCTAATCAGTAAATAAATTAACAAATGATAAATATTTTTTCCTCATTTGTAAGTTGCTGATAAAAGGGTCTTCTAAATGAATAAATTTAAACTTGAAACAATAATTTAAATTCAAATTATTTGAATGAAACTTACTTAACAGTAGAGCCCGACCGATATGGGTTTTTTTGGGGGCCGATACCAATATTAGGGGGTAAAAAAAGGCCGATATCGATATATCGGCAGATATTCTTTGTGTATATTATAGTACAGTACCAGTCAAAATTTTGGACACTTTCCCATTCGTATGTCCAAACTGTGTGACATAATATACCTCTGTAAATAAATACAATTTAAATTCACGTCCCGCGCACTTTAATGCTCTTTGAATGCAACGTGTACGTTCCTTTGGAACTGGATTCATGGCGGAATATCATGTGAAGTCTACTTCGCAGGGCACTTACAGTCGAATAAGACAACGCTTGAATGCTGCTGCCTGAACAAGAGCTCTCCTTACTGAAGTGAAAGTGTTGGCTGGTGTCACTATCTCGCGAATGCGGCGGCGATCCCTTCAGCTCGAGGAGCCCTCTCGAACGCCACCCTCCGCGTGTCGGTACGGTAGCTATCGATGCGGGGGTGGTCTCTTTCGAAAGGGGGCCTCGAGACATACACTCGATTCGGCGTTTGAGAGGGTTCCTCAAGTTGAAGGGATCCCCCGAATTTGGTGCGGATCCGCCGCGCCGTTAGGGAGATATGGCCGTTCAAAGTAGAGGTCTGCGCGGGACTATTTTTTTAGTCCCGCTCCCGCGAGGTTATATTCCACTCCCACCCGCTCCCGCTATGTATTCACTCTTTGTTCACCCGCTGTCCGTTTAGAATAATTTTCTTCCCGACCCGACCGTTACCGCTAAATTTAGATCTCGTTTCCAGAATCTCACATTTAAATTTCCGCTACTGAAAGAAAGAGAGATGGGCTGACAAATAAAAGTGTAGTCTGCACAAAATTGTATTTATATAATTTGTCTTGTCAAGAGTCTTGAAGTTATTGACCGCAACTGCTGCCAGAGAAAATAAAAATGTTGTACAAAAATTTTATTTCTTATTTTTATTCGTCTTGTCAGGATACAATTCGTTTAACATTTATAACACAATACGAAAAATGTCGCAGACAGAAAAAAATAAAAATGTAGGTTGTACAGAAATAGCCTAGCTATTTTTATTCGTCTTGTCAAAATACTAAATTCGTTTAACATTTTGCTGTACACAGTAGGAAAAGTGTCGCAGAGAAAAAAATTAAAATAAATAGGCTACGTCATCTGTCATTTAAAATGATAGGCTAAGCAAAATATAAACAAAAACGAGTTGAACGTCCTTCAAGGACAGCGCAGCCACACTTCGCTCCATCCTTATTCTGCTCTGTCACTCATCGACAACCTGCCTGTTCTGTCTGAGGACCGTATTTACCACACCGGTAGGCTACAGCCTGCTCTGAGCATCGTTATTCACATGCTGCGCACAGACCTCGCAAATAAAATGCGTGACTCAGGAAGCGCTGGTTCATGCGTGCAGCGCGTGCATAACAGTCCTGAGTGCAGGCTGTACGGTGGTCAATAAGAATAAAGAGCAGATGCTGTTCTGAAAGGATGTCGGGAATGGGATATTGTTAGACCGCCCGCTCCCGTTCAAATTACACCAGAGTTTTTGTTCAAATTACACACAGGCACTCTGGCACTCCGCTACACGTTTCTTTAATTTTTGGTTAAACTAATCCTTTAAGGTGTAAATTAACAATTTCATTTACTTTTCAGCTTCATCTTAATGTAGTTTTCAACTTGTTTCCAAGACAACATTTTTCATTTTAATTTAGTTAAACTTGAATATCTAATTTAGTAAAACAAAAAAATCTAAATGTATATATTAATGAAAACTGTTATTTACTGTTCTTGATAAAAACTCAATGATACTAAAATAACACTGGTAGGCAATTTGCGCATATAACCATATTGAACATGGATACTGTACTGGTGTGAAAATTATATAATATCTTCTGAAGTCTACTGTCTAATGGTTATTAATAATTTTTAAGTGTTCCTTAATTGTCTAAATACTTTTTAGCAGCACTATTTTTGGTTTGACAATAAAAAAGTATTTTTTTCTCAAGAAAAGTGACAACTACAGAGAAAGAGTTGAGAGAAATGTTCTTTCTGCTCAGTGCTTAAATGTCTGATTTCCAGAAAATGGATCTGTAATTACTGCACTAAAACGTGATGAGCAGTTCCTGTTCAAATATTATTCATACGCTCTCTTTCCATCTGGCAGCCACAGCCCTCACCTCATCGTGAGCTGATCCGACCTGCTGCCAAGTGGGGTGCGAGCACCTTCCCAAGCCAGGCATCTGGATCCAACAGCCATCCTACCAGCGCACACACTCATCATCCTTCTGTAGTCACCGCACATCCTGCATTAGGAAACCAAGCCATAGGTGTCTTAACCACGGACCAGAATGCTGTACCCTCGACATCTAGAGAAAATGCCTTGCACAGACCTCCAATGCCTGTTAAGGACTCACTGCCCCTTCCTAAGGACCCTTCAGCCAGTGCACACTCGGTGAATCAGGCCAGTTTGTTTTTTTCAGCTCCACCCACCACTGAATCAGGTCAGTCAGACTTGGGCAACAAAATTGAAGTGGTTGTCTGGCCGAGAACTGAAAGGACCACACAAAGGCCTCGGACACCACAGGAGACTGTGCTAGTAGACGTCAGGCGAGATGAGCAGCCGGCGGCCCCTCTCTCTCCTGCACGTTTCCCTGCACTGGCAGACAATGAGAGGCCTGGACCGTCAGCACCCAGAGAACCCGTAATACAGCAGAACCCTGGCCGGACGTCCCTTGATATTGATATGCTGGTGAAGGGGGTGGTGAGTTTTCTGAGTAGCACCTCATTTTACAGTATCCGACTATTCATATTGCACTTTAAAGGTGGGGTTTATTTTGATTTGTTTTGACATTTTCAGATGGACCTTTTCCCCGATGTGCAAGACGCATATGTAGCAGAACTGATAGAGAGAGGTGACCTGAAAGATTTAAATGTGTAAGCACAAATCTTTTTCTGCTCATTTCTTGCTCAGATGTATTTTGTTCATGTGTGAATTTTTTTTTTTTTTGTGAGACATTGTTTGGGCTATTTATCACAGAATATGCAATATATTATTGGAAAACCCTGATTATCCGAAGAAAGCAAACTCAGTTGTGACACAAAGCAGTGTTCTTCTTGAGACGAATGATTCTGAGACGCAGGTTTGCACAATATTTTCATCAGATCCATAGTTTATTTATATATATTTGATGTTGTTACTATGAATGCATTGTAAAAATTGAACTAATAGAGTATAATTTACTTACTTTTTCTCTGTCATGCAGGAAAGTGAGAATTATTTTGATTATGTCAAACTAAAGACTGTTGGCCCAGAGGTCGTCATTCAAGCTGCAGACATGCTGATGGGTGACTTCAGAATGTTGAGCTGTCAGGATATCAAGTGGGCCCTGAATTGCCTCAAAGGACACTATGCAATCACCCGAAAGGTGAAAAATATTCTGTTTTCAGTGTGTATTTTATGGAAAATTGTAAATAATCTAAATATTGTTTTAATTTAATTGTCGTACATTTTTTTTGTGCGCTACATTTAAATGTTACAAATGACTGATTAACTAAATCCTTTGGTTGTCACCAGCAGTATAAGATTAATACACTAATACCTTTAAATATTTAAGTAATTTATTACATTTTGTAAATAACAGAAACACTCACAATAAACTGGCCGCAAATGTTATTCCCAAACAAACCTGTGTATATACAGGTCTATTTTCAACTATTTAGTGTAAAGTTGCATTCATGTTTACTGTTGCTCTGCAAAATTTTGTGAGCGACACCCGCGCAATGAACAGTTTCGCATGATAAACTTTAAGTGGCAGAGAAATTTCCCAATGTGAATTTTGCGTTGGGTTTAAGTTTGGTGCACTGGACACACAAATGCACAGTGCTGACCAATAGCAAGCCTCTGGGTTTGACGGTGACCTCTGTGTGGGTGGAGATTCGAAACTTGCCAACTAAGCAAAACTGAGGGACGAGGTGCTCATTCTCAGTGAGATTTGTATAACATTATACTTCCATGTTTGAATCTATAATAAAGAGGCTGTTTGAAAAGCAGTTGTTTTAGGGTTGGTTAGTTTGCTAGTTGGCAGAATAGCTTTGGATATGTATTTCGTTGTCATTAGTATCATTCCTATTTTGTCACATTTTCTTTCACCTGAGAAATTACACAGAGCAGATGTAAATGTCACTATCCAGAAACTGGCATCCCATATTGTTTGACCACTAGTCATTTGTGTGGCATTAATCTTTCTGGTAACTCTCAAAGGCCTTATTCGAAGCCCTCAAGAAGTGGCAAGAGAACTCCACTGACCCCTCAGGGAAGAAGAAGAGAAGGAGAGAGCCAAATGAGCGCGCCTTCATAGACTTCAAGTTTGAGCAGGGTGACTACATATGTCTTTGTTTTTTGCATGCCTTTCAAGCGCAAAATAAAACCAGGTAAACAGTGAAATGCTCACTGCATCTCGTTCATCTCAGGTTCTTTTAAACTGGAGAGAAAGATGTATTTTTTGGAGAAGAATCGCAGATGGAGCCGCGGTAACGAGACTACACTGGAGCCGTCGCTCTTGAAAGAGCTGCAGTTTTACGAGCAGAAAGCCAAGGAAATGGCTGAGGTACTTGGCACGGCTCACTTCTTCCATTTATTTCTGATGGTTCCGCCTGCAATAACCCAAAGAAATAGAGTTGTGGTGAACTGAGCTGACAGGCTGTTAATTGTTGAAATAATTACGAGGGTTTTTTCCTCCACTTTCAGCATGAAGATTTCCTATTGGCTTTGCAAGTGAATGAAGAGCAGTATCAAAAGGTCGGTGTGAAGAGCCAGTTTATGTTCTTTTAATGCTCCTGTAATCACATGTCAATCCACATCATTTAAAAAAAAAAACTTAACAATTTAGAGTGTGAGAGTTATTTTGTCCCTTTCCACAGTTGTAAATTATTGTATAAAACAGACAGTTCCAGCTCTAAAAGCAGATCAGAGGGACCTTGTTCAGCCTTGTAATGTGTTGTAGATTATAATACTAAACTTTGTGTTGAGAGCATGTGACACTTTTGACCAGGACGGCCAGTTGATTGAGTGTGGCTGCTGCTGTGGGGAGTTTGCCTTCGAGGAGATGACCCAGTGTACAGATGGCCATTTGTTCTGCAAGGAGTGTCTGGTGAAATACGCCCAGGAGGCAGTTTTTGGCTCAGGACGGGTAAGTCATCTGTTCAGACTGTTCAGTCTCTAAGGTCGCGGAAGCAGGGGGGCCGCCCGGGCCTAGGCCCGGGTTAATTTTGAGGTCTGGTACAAATATGACATGGGCTACAAAAAAAACATAGGCTATAGGCTCATATGTATGCACATTTAATCATTAAAAGATCGCGATCTCGATTAAAACACACGTGATCTTATTCCTAAATGACGGTGATTCTGCTATGTCTATTAAACCTTTGAAAACACAGTCACATCGGAATATTTAAACCTGCTTTCGCACAGCCGCTGATCCAGATAGAGCAGCGCAGCGCTCATCATGTAGCCAAGCTTTATGTTTGAAACGGTCTACACAAACAGTCTACTTACACAGTAGGCTACATTTCTATGTTGCAAACATTAAATAATAACGAAAGTATTTGGAGAAAAGTTTTTAATCCGGATATAAACTGATGTTGCGGCAGCCTCGATCAAAACGAGTAATAAACCTTTGGAACTAATGATACGCTTCAAATATAGATTTTCATTCAAAAACTCTGGACGAAACAAGTCATTTTTCAAATGATTTTTTAGCTACATAATGAATTCATTTAAATGAATAAATATTTTTAAATACACTCATTTATAACATTTTAGACATTTATAAATAGACTCATTTATAACATTAAAAAAAAACATTTATTCAGAAACTCAAATTACATATTTTGTTTGGTTGTCTAATTCTTGTTTTCAGAATCGTGGGAGAATAATAGCATAACAATACATAGGCTAACATATCAGACATCTAACTAATACTTTTAGTTCAGTAAAAGAACAGACACTACAATTAAAAACTGAACGAGCAGCCGCGCCGAACGACAGTTGCATCACAGATCAGATTTCATTTCTCCAGTGAGGAGAGTGAGTCGAGCTGACTTACAAGAAGAGTGGGGTGAGACAGACAAGACGATCGCGGATGAGTTTCGAAACGAAATGCAAAAGCACCTGTTTGGCAATATTTTGGATTTTGAAAAGCCTGTTGACTTTTGCCGTTTATCTAAGGTGATTTTGGAAGTTTCTTTAAACATTTGTTTCTTATTTAATTGGTTCCACATTGTTTGCTGATTTTTACTTTATTTAAACTTTGTGTCATTTATTTATTTTATTTGACATCAAGGTGTATGCTGTGCCTCCAAGCTTTCTTACTCGTTTTGTTAATAAACGTTCTACGTTTCTTATTTACTTGGTTATATATTAATGCATGTTTACTTATTTCCAGTTTTGTATACCTATTAAACTTTATGTAAGTTATTTGTTATTTTATATTAGGCATAGCCTGCCCTAAAGCATGGTGTATTTTTATTTGTTTTGTTAATAAAAGTTCTATGTTTTATATATAAGCTAAAGTGAGTTTGACGTTGTATTTTGTTGTTGCATTCAAGCAATTGACCTGCCGCTAATTCGAAAGTGAAAGAAAAATGTGCACGGCGCTTTTAAGCTATTTAAAGGCGAGGAAAAGAGGGAAAATTCAAACGAACTAAAAACGAACAATTGCTTTACTCCGAATTGCCGCTATTTGAAAGTGAAAGTAAAATGCGCACGCCGCTTTTACAAGCTATTTAAAAGCGAAGGAAAGCCAGGAAAAGAGGGAACGCCCCCGCCCCCGCGGTGATACCGGTATTACCGGTGTTGTCACACGTCGATTAACCGGTTGGAAAATTTCCTCACTGTCACAACCCTACTGGAAACTGTATGTGCGGTCACGTCCATTATTATGTCACAATGTTTTCAGGCATTATGCACAGTGTTCATGTTTTGTTCTCATTTGTAAAATTCCCCTGTAATTTGGTTTCATATTTGCCCTGTGCTTTTTTAGGTGCTTCCCAGTTTATCTCCCATCTTAGTTTAATTTTCATTCTAATAATCATAAACAAAAGGTATACTGTTTACATTCACCTTGATTATTAAAGCTCTGGCATCATTGGTTTGCAGGTGTTTCATATTTTATGTCTAATGGAGTGAAATTTATAGTGTTTAGACCCATTCACTACCATTCAAAAGTGTGTGGTCGGTAAGTGTTTTTGAAAGAAATGCTCACCAAGATTGCATTTATTTGATCAAAAATACAGTAAAAAGGGTCAAAAAGAAGTTTTACAGTAAAAACTATTACATTTTAAAATAACAATTACATTTCTAATTTAATGTAATTTAAAATGACTTTTATTCCTGTGATGGCAAAGCTGAATTTTCAGCATCATTACTCCAGTCTTCAGTGTCACATGATCCTTTACAAATCATTCTAATATGCTGATTTGCTGCTCAACAAACATTTTTTATTATTGTTTAAAACAGTAAAGCTGCTTAATATTTTTGTGGAAACCATGATATATATTTTTTCAGGATTCCTTGATGAATAGAAAAGAACAGCATTTATTTAAAATAGAATCACTTTTGATCAACTTAAATGCATAATAAAAAAAAAAAAGGCATCTTACTGACCCCAAACCTTTCCATGGTAGTGTAGGTACTCAACACAAGCACTCACTGAATTTTACAGTTACAGTGTATTTTGGCTTCAGATTAAGTAAAAATGGTTCTTTGTGTTTGTTTACAGTCGGAGTTGAGTTGTATGGATGGGAGCTGCACCTGTTCCTTCCCTACGAGTGAGCTGGAGAAAGTTTTACCTGAAAACATTCTGTACAAATATTACGAGCGACAGGCAGAGGAGGCCGTAGCCGCCACCTGTGCTGATGAACTGGTCAGGTGAGTTAAACGTGTTGATAGACAGCTATATGACTTTTTTTTTCTGTGGAACACAAAAGGAGATGTTTTGTAGAATGTCCAGACTGTTAATTTCTATACAATGAAAGTTAACAGTAACTAGAGCTATCAAGCTCCAAAAAGGACAAAAAAAGTAATCCACATAAGTAATCCTTATAGTGTTCTGTATTTCAGCTTTTCGAGAGCCATGCAATTCGAAGCTTTGAAAATTGTACAAACTTGAGATTTAACCACACTGTTTTCCTCACTTTCTTTTCAAGGTGTCCATTTTGTAACTTCCCAGCACTGCTGGATAAAGACATTTCTCTGTTCAGTTGCCCAAACCCACGCTGCAGAAAGGTTAGTCCGTGTGCCTGGATACACTAGTGTGTATGTGTAATTCAATCGTTAGAGTGATCTCTTTATGAAAGTACTATCATGATCTGGATCAGTTCTCTCTTCCTCTGTCCACTTCTATTTCTGAGCCCCACAGTGGTCACATGGTGGCGCCATAGGCCTGTGGAAAAAGTCTGTGGTTTGCAGTTGCAGAGGCCCCATAATGAACCATGCTAGTGTATGTGAAACTAATGGTATTTTATCATTGGCAGAGTTTACTCAGCTGGAATTAGTCAGGTCAGGGCAAGAACAGAGACAGCCATTCATCATGTCTGCTATAAATATTCAGCACTCCGAACCCTAAACAAAGATTAACCAGGGTCAGGGAAGTTTAGCAGAACTAGATGAATCAGCATTCCGGTATATCACTGTCACATGATGTTTTGGCAATGATAACAGGGAAAATGGGGCTTATACCTTCGGGATATGAATCACAAATCACAACCTGTTGTGCCTTTGAAAAGCAAGGTTTCAGAAAACAGACTGAATTGTGTATCAAGTGTTTGTTACAAGTGGCTGCTGAAAGGAGATACTACATTAACTACATTTTTCAGTAGTGTGATGATAGTAGTTTAGCTGTTTTTAAAATGATAAACTTTTCCAGTAATAACCTTCTTTTTCCAACAACTGAAAAATGATTAACTGGTCGTGCTTCTTCATAATAGTAAATGAATATGCTAAATGTTGCTGTTTATCACTAAGGTTTTGACTTTGTTTAATAAATTAGGGTGTGTTCTAGTTTTTCTAGTTGTATTTATATTCAAGTTTCATGGAACATAAAAAGTGTCAACCTAGTTAAACCCTGGGAATGGTCAGGGTTGTTCCAGGGTTTCCTTTGTCATGGAAATCCTGGGAATATTAGGAATCTTTTAGCGTTCTGGAAAAGTCATTAAACTTACTAAAATCTAAAGTCATGTACTGTAAATTATTATAGTGTACACTAGTGTGTTTCTAGCATCTAAATTAAGTTACTGGTCCCCAGCTCCCTGGTTGAGAACCACTGCTATAATGTGAGGTGAAACTTTCCCATTTGGGTGAATATGACGACCAAAGTGATGCTTTAAAACTAGCAAAGAAATAATACTTTTATGCATTCAATTGATCAAAAGTAGCAGTAAAGACATTTATAATATTACAAAACATTTATAAAGTTACAAAACAAAAACTAAAAAAGTAAATGCTGTTCTTTAATCAAAGAATGCTGGAAAAAAAGTATCACGGTTTCCACAAAAATATTTAGCAGTTTTCAGCATAGATAATAATAAATGTTTTTTGAGCAACAGATCAGCATATTAGAATGATTTCTGAAGGATCATGTGACACTGAAGACTAAAAATGTAGCTTTACATCACAGTAATAAACAAAAGCTTAATTTAATTCTAAATAATAACGCGGATGAGACGGGGGATGTCCCCTTAGGCAGGTTTAATGTTGTCACCTACTTTTTGTTAGTAGCTTGTAGTATTTTCAAGAGTAGTTTGTAGCTTGACAAGTTTCACACTAGCTTCTCCAACACTGGATACAAGTACATTTGATATTTTGTCATCAGTCTTATCAGTGTTGGGCTGTGAGGAATGTATGAGGCAGTGCCAGGACACAGAGAGCTGTCAGTCCGTCTCTGTGTTAGTGGATTTCAGCTGGCAGGCGGAACATGTCAAGGACTCTGAACTCACAGCTACTTTCTCAACAGGCCTGAGAGGAATGTTAGAGCTGCCTGCAGTTTGTCAGGGCTATCTTTCCATTCATCTGTCAATCTCCATTTCTCTCTCTATCTCTGTTTGTCCCTCCATCACTTTTAAAGTAATAAACACACGTGGGAGGGCTGTGATTGTGAGTGCCTTTCAAACATCATGAAAGCTGAGGGTGTATGTACGCATACATTGCAATTTAACGTAAAGTATGTTTTGAGTTCCTGTCATTTTGAGGCAGACCATTTCCCACATCACTTTGAGTCTTAGAGTGTCAGGAGAAAAGGTTTCTTGTTGACCTGAAGGCCCCTCGCTGTCCAACACAATATTCAAAGGCCTCCATATTGGCTAAAATATTTCTGCTGTAATTATGACAATTGAATTATTGAAAATTAGTGCATACCAGAGATGTAATGGTACATTAATTCATTAATTTTTAATCATTCAGTGGTCTATCAGCAATTATTCTCTAAATAACTTTGTTGATTATAGTCTGGGCAAGTCTTATTGATGTGAAAGGGAAGATGATGGTTGGCATTTCCCTTTAAAAGACTTTAATATCCTCAACCCTCTACATTGCGAGTAAATCACTCGCATATGCGACTAATCTTCACTCTGGGCGACTAAATTATGTCTAATATTAGCCACTGGCTATAAATTCTCAGATTTTACTCGCCAGTGTGTGAGTTGGACGCTAAGTATAAGTTTAGCACAGATAAGTGAAAGTGAAAGTGATGTGACATGTGGCCAAGTATGGTGACCCATACTTGGAATTAGTGCTCTGCATTTATCCCATCCTAAGTGCACACACACAGCAACACACACACACACTGTGAACACACACCCGGAGCAGTGGGCAGTCATTTATGCTGCGGCGCCCGGGGAGCAGTTGGGGGTTCGGTGCCTTGCTCAAGGGCACCTCAGTCGTGGTATTGAAGGTGGAGAGAGCGCTGTATAAATATATATATATATTTAAAACACACACACATGCATATATGGAATATCAGTCTGGCGAGTAAACTAAAAAATTTACTAGCTAATGGCGATTCAATTGCCAAGGTGTCCGTAGATGGTTGATCCTGCCATCAGGTAAACAGTACTTTTGTGTTTTCTGTCATATACCAATTGTCCACTGGATGGCGCTCTTGTTCTGTGATGCCAGTGCAGTTTTATTCTGCCACACATCTTCTGCTGATTACACAGCTAAACCTGGCCTCACACTTCTGCAGCAGTTCACAGCAGGGCGGGAGAGGGGGGCACGGGAAGCTGCTCAAACGGTTACATCTTTGGCCTTCCTCTCAGCACAGCTGATAACTTAAAGGTCCCATATTGTCAAAACTGAAATTTCCTGGCTTTTTTCATGATAACTGAGGTCTAGGTGCTAAGTAACTACCATATAAGTTTCAAAACAGTCAATCCACAGTCAAATGCACACAGCCTGCATGAAGTAGTAGTAGCAAAAGTAAGGATTTTTCACGAACCGTTGTGACTTCCGTAAAAAGTGACTTCAGAACTACTCAGTCACCGCCTTCAGTCACCACCCCGAGCACTGCCCACAGTCCCACTCTCC